AGTATACGTTATACTTATATATGTTACCAAGTGTTGTAATATCTTGTAAACTTGTAATTCCGCGATGTATGAATTGCGGTATCAATTGAATAATGATAATGTGACAGCTTGGTCGTCCTGGACTATCACATTATTATGTAATCTGTGGATTTCCCTTCGAGAAAATTGTGGATCATTTCACTCATCGATGTCGAAGGGCACGGCGTTTATCACTGAAAGAATAGCGCCTTTAATTTCTAAAATAAATCTAGAAAAATACAAGCATGCACCCGTAGACTGCTCAACCGTGCATTGGAATCAAATAGCTAGTGCATGACTACCTTGAAGATGAATTAATGTCTACTAAGTGCGTGCGACCAAAATTAAAGTATTATTAGCAGAATCCTGAATCCGTGAGTGACCAACTCGATCTCCTCGATTGGTCAAATAATGTGATCGGAGACCACATGCCCCCGTGCGTGCAAATTCTCTCTCGTGTGCATGCATACACACACACACACCATGGCCTGCAAAACCCATGCACGCACGAAAACAAACTATTGGCATATTGGCCACATAAATAAAACTTTTCATGTACGTACTCCAAGTATATATTGTAAGATATAAACGAAATTAATAATGTCCTTGGCCTTGGGAGAGGAATGACAAATTGCGACGACTTGTACAGAGTTGAACACGCATGCATTTTGAATTTTTGACGTGCCAACTTGCTTTGATAGTATAGTTTGATCCCATCCAAACATCATCATTATTAATTCAACACCAGTCATATATATGAAAGCCAAGTCTTTGACTATGTATAAGAGTATATATGTTGGCTTGTAATAGTATATATGAAATTGAAAGCTATGTCTTTGACTATATACGTTATAGGAGTATATATGTTGGCTTGTAGTCGTAGGCTCGTAGCTCGTCGATCGACACTCCAAATTTGTGAACAATAACACGCCACAGTATTATATATACTGCTTCAATATACTACTACTATATACATATTAGAGCATCTCTAAGAGACTCTCTATATCCTTCCTAAATACTAGGAATAGAGATTTTGGTGAAAAATTACCCTTCAACAGTTTTTCTAAATAGTCATCTAAATATAGCTATTTTCTATTTCGGATTTTTTCTAGCTAAAAATAGAAGACGAGAATTTCTCTCTAGAGTGCGCATGAGATATAGAAAAGATATAGAAAGCGATTTTTATGTAAGTGACTCTCTAAATGTTGATTTAGAAAGTGGGATTTAGAAAGGATGTTGGAGATACTCTTAGGGCACGTTTGGTTGCCCGCTTATGGCTGGGCCAGGCTGCCGAGATACAAGAAACATGCGTTTGGATGCCTGCGCCGGCCAGGCTCCAGGAAACGCAGTCGGAAGTCGTTTCTCCGGCACGCGCGCTCGTGGTGGCGAGGCGCTTCCATGCGGTCCCCACGCTGTATTCTCTGTCAACCAAACAACTTCCTGGATCTTGTATCTGCACACCCAAATAACCAAACACCGATACTTGTATCACCAGAGCCTGGCCGCCGGTAGCCTGCATGCCGGATACGATGCAGGCAGGCCAGAGAAGGCAACCAAACGTGCCCTTAGTGTATTTGATTTGGTAGCCCTTGACCTTGAGTCAAACTGTCAAAGTACGGTTGCGCATATAAGCGCCAAAAGAATGCATGCAACGTAACTGGCGCTTTCACTGCCTCCACTTGCATGTACCAATATACTAATTATTAATCTGCTAGCTAGATTTTTGATAGATTTTGGTTACACTCACAGCGTTTCCTACATCGCCAACGAACGGTCCATAACATATACCGTCTTTGCACTGCCAAATAAATATTATTAGATTCATTATAATACATATATTCTCATAGCATGTTTACCTATTTGATATCGTAAGTGTTGACAATCTTCTCTATAAACTTGGCTAGACTTAAAATAACTCAACTTACAAAATATTTTTTTTGGATGTATTAATTATTTTTCATCTAGAGGTGGTACTAAAAGTGTTCGCTTTTACTATTTGCACAACCATCTATATCACTACTACGTAGAAGAGAGGTGGCTTCTTCTTTTTTGTCCCAGAGGTGGCTCCATCACCGGTATCTCTCTAAAAACAATTTCAGATACAACTCGCCTCTAGAAATTGATTTCTAGAAGTGGATGGTGCCTTCGAACGCTTTTAGAAATTAAATGTCTTCCATTTTTAGAGGTAGTTGGTGTTACGGATAATCATGGTACTCTAGAAATATATTAGGAGATGGGCTATAATGTGACCCGCCTCTAAATCCTTTCTAGCTGACTATATTCCTTCAAATGCTATATCAATAGACTATATAGGGTGTCTTTTTTGAAGAAAAAAAATCCTTAAACCAATTACCAAATTTAGCTAGTCAACTTAATTTATTTAGCTGGTGGTATTAGTGTACTACGCGCATGTCCCTTTTACCATGGCCCAGCACGTTGTTATTATTATAAGTACATTGATTGGTCCCGCCCCCTTGCTTTGAGAGCTACGTACTCCTATGTAGCGTGTGTGAAAATGGTTTGGTACGACTTGAGACTTTGGGTCAGTGTCGATGGATTTTGCGGCTTGCATTGCTTGACCCTGTCAGAGATCAGAGTATATATACTCCGTACGTACGTACGTACGCACGCACTGCCACTAGGGGCTCTGACCATTGCATTGACTCTACCTACCCACCATCTTCAAGCACAAGACCTGATTATACATTGGTCATCGGTCAGATCTTTTGGACTAGTAGTACATCTCTGCTTTCTTGCACGCACCTTGGGCAGGCACTGTCCTTTCCCTTTCTTCACATACGTTTCTTTTTTTCATTTTTGCTTTCAGTATTGACTAGCGTGCTCCCTTGCTGTTTGTTTTCTTTCTTGTCGATTTCTGCATTCTTTCATGCTGTTATTTTCAGCTGATTTATCGATCAAATTAACATGCTTGCTTGTATTCAAGATCACACCCTGCCTGTAGAACAAAGGATCAGTGGATTTTTCCTATATATATGCCTTTTTGAACAATGGAATCTACTTTGTAAACACTATATACATTTTCTATAGAATGGGCTGAATGGCTTAAGTCATAGAAAAATTACAGGAAATCTAACATGAGATCCAACCTCTTGATTTTTTTCTTGCACCTCTCTCTATATACCTAGATTCCTATATATTTTCCGCATGTTGTATCTAGGGAAATCCCGGCGCTCCGAATTAGCGTTTTAAGACTACTCAGCTTCAAAGATATATAAATATATATGGCCTTGGCGCGACGAAGACGACTAGGGCTACTACTAAGATTGATCTTATGAGTGCATCTGTATGGATACTAATAGCTAGCCCATCAATCACCCTATCATTAATTACCAAGGATTTCTTCCTAAAAAGCTCAGATCAACCACTAAAAAAAACTAGTTCCCAAAAAAAACATGCCCCTCAAAAAAACTGAGCTGAGGAGATACGACAGGCATCCTTATTCTTCATGAAAAGCATCAGGAGCTGCACTGGACCAGGCCCGGCCCATAGTGGGGAAAAGTTGTTTGCTCTCGTCAGCAAAGGAGTTGAAATGAAGGAAGAGAGGAAGCAACAAGCTGACGCTGTTTTGATTCTTCGTTGGGTGGAACTGAAACTAGCTTTTGGACTGATTCAGCTTAGGCGTGACTCGTAACACCAACGGTTAGCTAGAGATCCAAGATCAACAGCCTGCCTTTGGAACAAACTCAACAAAGGATCGGTGGATTTTTTTACTATATATGCCTTTTTGAACAATGGAATATATTGTAAATACTATACATTTTATACAGAATGGGTTGAAGGGCTGAAGTCATAGAAAATTCAGAGCAAATCTAACATGAGATCGGCGTCTTATTTTTTCTTTTTTTTTCTTGCAGGTCTCTATATTACCTAGATTCCTATATTTTTCGCATGTTGTATCTAGGGGAATTTCGGTGCTCTGAATCGTATTAAGACTCAGGCGTTTTTTAAAGATATATATGGCCTTGACGCAGCGAAGACGACTAGGGCTGGTCTTATGAGTGCATCTATACGAATGCTAATAGATAGCCCATTAATTACCCTATCATTAATTACCAAAGATTTCTTTCTAAAAAGCTCAGCTCAACCACTCAAAAAATCTGAGCTGAGGTGAGACGGCAGGCCCAGCCCATAGGGGAAAAGAGACCCTGATTGCTCTCGTCAGCAGAGGAGGCAAGAATGTGACGAACTGACGCTGACGTTGTTTTGTTCGTCTTTATTTGTTGGGTGGAAGTGGAACTCGTCTCTGGACCGATTCAGCTTCATCGTGGCACCAACGGTTAGCTAGAGATGCATGGTGACTTGGTCTCTAGTGTACTAGTCATAACTCATGAATCCCTCCTTCCTAAAAAGAATATAATTGTACGTGTTAGTTTAGACAAATGTTTATCTAGATTCATATTTAAAATTGTAGTGTTTTTAGAACGGGGGATGCATATTATGGTGAACACTGCCCCTCTCTCTCTCTCTCCTTCAATTAATGAGCATATTTTGATCCTTATTTCTTCAGTTGCTGCTGTCTCCTTTACTTTCATTGTGAGACGAACTTCCAGCTAAGTTGCATTGGTGATATTGGGTCTTCTTCGATTTTTGACTGAACGACGCAAAGGCAGCCAAGCAGACACTGCTGCTTCAGTACGGTCTTGGCCTACCCAGTCACTCAGTCAGCTCTTGACCTGAAGATGGAGTATTATTAGGAACTCTGCTGGTCAAATAACAAAAGCCACGACGATAAACCGAGAGAGAGGATTCAGCTCGATCCAACACGACCTCCGGCCCAAAATGCAAATGGGCCGTGGGCCAATTCCTATTCCCCAGAACATGCGTCCTTGGGGGCCCGTCCCGTACCATCAGAGGTGTAGATTAGACCTGGATTGGACTTGGACCGAAATCCAGTTTGGCTTTCACTTGGACTTCATTGGATTTGGACTGAGCTAGACTCTGTTGTGTGGATCAAAAAAAAAATGGATAATCCAAATTCTACTGGACATCCGTTCGGCAGCCAGCCGGCGAACGTGCGGCGGCGGCTGCAGTGCGGGCGCTCTCGCAGCCGGCTGGCCTTCTTCGCGTCCCCCTCCGCCAGCACGTCCGCCAGCTGCTCCTGCTCTCCAGGTAGGCAAGGGCCTACCGAGGCTGTCAGGGCGAGCGCCTTCCATAGTTCCATCCATCGGCTCTTGCCGCGAGGTGCCACGGTTGACCGGGGCGGGCGCTCGTGCCAGTGAAGCAAGTACAGATCGTCGGCGTTCAATTCGTACCCCCTTCTCGGCATCCTCCATCTCGATTTGAAGGTCCAGGTCCGTATGCTTGCTGCCCTCAAGTACCCCATATCATCCATACACGTTAGCTAGCATAACCATCCAGGTACAATCTCTAGTGTGGATCTCTTGTGGATTGTAGTTCCAATCCATCTCAGAGATGTTGTGATGCAAAGAGATCGAAACACCTCAACTGAGCAATCTATTTCCTCTGAATACGTTCAGTTTTAGTTATGTGATGCAGAGAGAGAGAGAGATTGAAACACCTGACCGGAGTAATCCATTTCCTCTGAATACATTCAGTTTTAGTCTGCTTGGAAGTTGTTGGCATGCAGCAGAAAAACCTGCAGAGTAGAAAGTGAGTTGCATGCCAACTAAACTGTACCTGTTCGAATCAAACAAGAAAGTGAATTGGGGCTGGCTCATCATAATTATGAATGTGGAAGGCACACAAACAAATACAATCCCCTAGGTCTTTCGGAAGCCGCACCTGCACACCATTTTAGCATGCATGTGGCTGCAGGAGGTGGCTTGCCTTGTCTCATCCCAACTTCTCCAGAATCTTGAACTGTAGCCATTTTTTTCTCTGCAGAAAATTCTCATTCGAAGCAAAGAGATTGTGTTGGTTTTGTTTAACATTAGAGCAAGAAAATAGCAGATAAGTGAGGTGCTATTTGGGCAAAAAAAAAATATGAAATTTCTAGCGTATATATGCAATAGGGATTCTTAGTGGATGTGTGCAACAATGATTACTTGATGTAGCTAGCTAGTTCGGCATATTGTGGCCAAATGCAGGAGCAAATCGCAAGAACTGGCTTGAGAAAAAATTTGTTCGTGTTTATTTTATGGCACCCGTCTACTCTCTGTCACCAGAAATAGACGATACCTCTGAATAATATGCATGCAGATTTTATTGTTAGCTTCCAACTGTAATCCTGCATAACATAGCACTATTGTTTTGGGAATGCTCGTGATTCTGCGATCTGAACACATACTATTCTATGAACAGGTCAACTGAAAGGATGCCTAATAGCGGAAGTTTGGCACTACTTAATGAGGGAGCTGATGAAGTCGTACAGAATTCAGGCCGCGGAAGCAGGAGAAGATCTCCAGTATGGAACCATTTTGAAGAGTTAACAAATGAAGGAAAAGCAATCTGCATCCATTGCAGATCAAAGTTGGCTTATCATCAAGGTCTTGGAATATCACATCTAAGGAACCATATTACAACTGCCTGCAAAGAACTTCCTCCAGATATTGATCGTAGTTCAATTTTTCCAAAGGGTGTGTCTAGTCTAGTTGTTCGAAGTTCTGTATTGGATACAAAGCTAGTCGGGGATTTCATGACTAAATTTTGGATCACAGCAAATATTTCCTTCAAAAAGATAGAAAATGGGTTTTTTAAGAGGATGATGATATTAGCCCACCCAGGCCTTGAAGTTCATGATCGACAGACACTCAAGAGAGATTGCATGTCAGTGTATCAAGAAGAGAAGAAAAAGATTGCAGATGGTTTTTCCAATATAGATTCTTGTGTTAGCTTCACTTCAGATATGTGGATGTCAGCCCAGAATCTTGGATACATATGTTTGACTGCACATTTTGTAGATGAAGAGTTCAATCTGCACAAGCATCTCATCAATTTTAAACAAGTTCCTCATCCTCATAATGCTGATGCAATTCATAGTACTATCATGGATTGCCTTCATGAGTGGGATCTGTCCAACAGAGCTTTTGCTTTTACTCTAGATAATGCCACATCAAATGATGGAGCCATACAAAAGCTAAAAGATACTCTTTGGAGACATATGCCCTTTCAAGGTAGCGATCTTCATGTGAGGTGTACAACTCACATTCTAAACTTGATTGTCCAAGATGGAATGGAAATCATACAGAATATCATTGAGCCTGTTAGGAATGTCATTAAGCATATTTCATCATCTAACTCTCGGCTGCAAATTTTCAATACCATTCCACACCAATTTAATCTTCGGCCTAAGAGGGGATTCACCCTAGATGTTCCTATGAGGTGGAACTCTACCTATGACATGCTTGAAGAAGCTCTTGAGTATAAGGATGCCTTGACCCACTATGCAAATCTGCAGAACATTCAAGGACCCAACCTTGAGCAATGGAACTTGGCAGATAGAGTGTGCAAATTTTTAAAAAATTTTGCTGATGCAACCAAAGTCTTCTCACAGCATAATTCTCCAAGCTCTCATAGGTATGTTGAAGAGGTTTGGGGGATAAGGGAACTACTCTTTGATGAAAAAAACATAAGTGATAAATTCTTGAAGGTCTTGTGTGATGACATGAAGTCAAAGTTTGACAAATATTGGGATGAACCTAACAAAATCCTTTTGGTTGCATCGTTGTTAGACCCGCGGTACAAGTTAGTCTTTTTGAAGTATTGTCTCATGAAAGTTTATGGAGAGGAAGTGGCTGATAGTAAAGCAAATGCTGCTCTTATTTGGTTTAAAGCATATTATTCTCGTTATGAAAGCATGCCTCAAAGGAGTTATCAAAGTAATGTTTCTTCATCGCCCGAAGTGGGTGGTTCAGCGAGTCCGCTTTCTTTCTTATCTGGAAAACGCAAACTGGGGCTGGAATTTGCATTGTTTAGGCACCAAAGAAGGCCACAGTGCTCAAGAAGGCCAGAAGTTGACACTTACCTAGATGATCCATTGATTCCTTCAAGGGAGGGTGAAGAATTTGATGTGCTCGGGTGGTGGAAAAGAAACCAAGATCAATATCCTGTACTAGCTAAGATGTCTCGCGACTTTTTGGCCATTCCATTGTCAATTGTGGCCTCTGAATCGACATTCAACACTGCTAGCATAATGATTGACAAATATCGCAATTCTCTAAGTTCAGAAATGGTGGAAGCACTCATATGCGCAAAAGATTGGCTCAAAGAGTACCTCTCAGATGATGAAGATGATGATGGTAAAACATTTTTTTTAGATATGCAATTAACATTTGATGATATGCCTAGTTATGACCCCTTTCTATCTATGAGTAGATATATTTTTCATGTTTATTTTGTCTCATTACTGCTGTTAAATTAAATGTGTTCATAGCAGGGACAAGCTGCAGACCTCTTTCACTCTGAATAATATGTTCGTATTTTATTTTCTTACAGCACCCTGTATGCTCTTTGTGACCAGAAACAGATTTTTTGTTAGCTTCCAACTATTATACTTCATATCATAGATCCTTTTGGGAATGCTTGTGAACACATTTTTTTTGTGTGCAGGTGAAGTGACTACTGCTTGAGTTTCTCACCGCTGAACAGGTCAACTGAAGGTGATGACAAGAATAGCAAACTGCTTAATTTGTAGAATGATTTGGGATATGCAAAACTAGCATCTACAGCTTAAATTCTTCTGTTTAGGTCCTGAGGATACTATGGCTACTCCTTTGCTTCAGTTCAAAAAGATGTGTGGATTAGCATGTACAGCTTTATTAAGTTAAAAATGATATATTGATTACTTTGCAGTTTTTTGCTGTATTTGCTTGCAAATTGCGAGGAGCCGAGCACACATGTGATGCATGAATGATGAATGCATGATATGTTTTAGGGCAAAGATTTGTTTCTGCATATGCCAGTTTTGGGGTTCTGATTCCTCCTCTTTTTTTATTTTCTAATGGTCTTTTCTTCAAACTGGTTGATGTTAACAGCCAACCTAGTTGACAGTAATGTTCTTAGGAGATCAGAGAACCATACTAAAATATTCCCTGTTGGAAATCATTTTTTGGTTACATTTTTTCAGCAAGAATAAGATGCCTCATAGAGTTCGGATCAGTCTTAGCTGTAAGTTTAGGCCGATTAGTATTTGGATTGCCAAGCTCTGCTATGCTGTGCGGGTGTTTGTGGCAATCAGGAAGCTAGTTGGATTGTGTTGGATGGAATTGGATTTAGATGAAGTTGGATTGGACTATATTGGATGTCTCTACTAATTATGATTATTGAACTGGATAGGAGCATTGCTTTAATTGGATTTCAGCTAGATTCCTATGTTTGGATTTGGAAGTCCATCCATTCCCACGTCCAGCTGCAGATCACCTGAATTCTTGGGGATTTGCAGATACGCACCACGAAGAAACTGTCGGAGGATGTTGAGGATCGAAGGGGAACAGCTTGGCGTCAGCATCAGAACACTGTCAGTGGCAAGCGATGATAGGGTTTATAGTACCTCTAGGTGTAGATCTAGCGGGTGAAACTTAACTTACATAAAGAACTTGTCGATGTACCTCTCAAAGCGCAGTCGCGGCCATGGCGCCGCAACGACGTGGCCTCGAGTGTCGGAGTAGACGTAGCTGTGCAGTGGAGGCGCGATCCAGTGGCGGTGGCGAAAGCGGTGGCGCTTCCCGTCGCTCACAGCGCGCCCTCTCGATCGGACTAGGGTTAGGACGTCGGTGGGGCGCTGGCGGCTGCGGCGAACCTCGTATCTCGAGCCCCAGCCCCCATCTCCTATTCATAGCGCTGCGCGACGGGGCCCACTAGCCAGAAGAACGGTTGAACGCCCCCGATCAGGACGCGAGTCAGGGTCCGACTCGGTCGTTGGACCGAGCCGGGTGGAGATCAATCTAACATTTTCCCCCTTGATCTCACCTTATGACTTAAAACTTAGTTCACTTTGTTTTTTTCCTCATTCCTTCACAGATTAGTACATAAAGCATGCCTCGTCATAACAGTTAGTACTGTTAGACTAACAGCTACAATACACCTCTCTGTTTTGAAACAGATTCTCAACTAGGCCCTTAGTATCCAGAAATCATAGGCTTTCCTGTAAACTCATGTCGACTGTGTGTTCTCTGAACGCACTGGGTGGTAAGCCTTTGGTAAACGGATCCGCAAGTACTTACTCGGTACTTATATGCGCAATGCTTTTAAAATTATTCTAGATTTTCTCCTTTACAACATATAACTTAATGTCAATGTGTTTGGCAGCACACTTAACCTGTTGTCATAGGAGTGATTTGCTTTAAATGGTTATTGTTGTTGTCTACCATTGTTAATTCTGGGTACAAAATTTCCTTATCCACTTTTGCCTGTCCCTAAAGCCTCATACCAAGCTATACTATGGTATGCGTCATTGATGATACCACAACTGTTTCTTTGGAGCTTTTCCACAATAATACTCTAACTGCGAGTGTTAGCAACTACTGTGGATTTCACTACACATCTCGCCAAGGTTTAACATTTGTACCTACTTTGAGAATACTTGTTCTTTCTTACTCAGCATGAGGCCTATAATACTTTGCAAAATTGCAAAACATTCTTAACTCTATTCCAGTAATCTATATCTGGACTGGACTTCTGCCAAAATATCCCGGATACGTGAGCTACGTCAGAGTAAGTTCTTACTTGTACACTCATTAAGCTTCCAACAGCTGAAGCATATAGAACCATGTTCATTTAATCGATCTCATATTGGTTCCTAGAACACTGAAGGTTTCCAAATCTATTACCCTTGACTTTAGGAGCTGGCGCAGGTTTATTCACATGCATACTTTATTTCTTTAGAATCTTTTCTAAGTATGCTTTTGCGATAGTCCTAATACCTCTTTTTCTTCTATCTCAGTGAATTTTAATTCATAAAACCAATGACGCTTCACCAAGATTATTCATATTCAAACTTGAGGACAAGAACGTCTTCTTCTCCAACGGCAGATTAACATCACTACCAGTGAGTAGAATGTCATCTATACATAGGATGTGGAAAATGAATTTTCCATTCTTGAATTTCGCATAAACGCTATTGTCCTTCTCATTTTCTTTAAACTCAAACTTTCTTATTGTTTCGTCAACTTCAAATACTACTGTCTAGAGACTTGTTTTAGCCCATAAATAGATTTCTACAAGCGGCATCCCATACATTCTTTTATTTCCATGACAAAACCTTTGGGTTATGCCATATAAACGTTTTTATACAAATCCCCATTGAGGAATACCGTCTTTACATCCATCTGATGTAACTCTAAATCGTAATGTGCCACTAACGCCATTATGATTCTAAAAGAATCCTTACATGAGACTGGAGAAAAAACTCTCATTGTAATCTATTCATTCTCTTTGCGTAAAGCCTTTTGCTACAAGTCGTGCTTTATATCTTTTCACATTCCCTTTGGAGTCACGTTTTGTCTTGTATACCCATTTACAACCTACTGTTTTGGCTCCATTGAAAATTTCTCCTAAGTCCCAAACATCGTTGGTATTCACCGAATTCATTTCTGCTTCCATAGCTTCTTGCTATTTAAACGAGTAAACGCTTCTCTTGGCTTCTTCAAATGAGGTGGGATCACCTTTCATTTGAATTTCTTCACTAACATAGACTTTATAGTCATCAGAAAAAGCTGGCTTTCTAATTCTTTGAGACCTTCTGGGGCCTCAGTTACTGGCACTTTCATATGGGGCTGTTGTTCCTCTTCATTGCCAAGAGACAATTGATTCTAGAGGCTCCTGTGTTACAAGATTCTTGTTTATATTATTCATCTTTTTCAAAGAGCTAACAACAGGTGTTGTGTAAGTCATACAACATCAACATGTATTGAGAAATTCGTTGTTTCTGAATCACTGAAATGGGCACGCAGTCCCGCTTCTCTTTAAGCCATAGGTCTCTACATACCATGCTCTCCCAGATCATTCCACCTTCTATAAAGATAGTGTATCTTCAAATTTCTTGTTTGGGTTTAATCTGTTAAAACCTCATATGGCGCTTTAAGCACCACCTTAACATCTTTAAGGCTCGTCCAGTATGAATTCTGGCTGACTACGCTATCTTCCTATCAGAACTGTAAAAGGTCCAGAAATTTAGCTATTTCTCTGCTTAGGGGTATCGCTACTATGATCGACGGTCATATTCATCAACATCTTTATCTCACTCTTAATGAAGAGTAGTCACATTCATTAACATCTTTATCTCATCTTTCTTAATTGTATCTTTGCTCTTACTCTTAATTGATCTCACAATTCTCCCCCTCGAAATATGGCATGAGCTTTACTGCCATAATTTTAAGAACCATTCAGAAAATCTATGAACGAGGAGACAGTTATAACTTACTTCATTCATATGATTATGTCATGCAAACAAAGTTATTTCTTGATCCGTATAGGAGTACACTTTTCTCATTCCACTTCAAGAACTCAACGAGGTCTTTTATTAGCAGTACTTTTGTAAGTCACGCTTGCATCTTTTTCTTATCTTTTGGTTAGTATTACCATAACGGTGCATTTCTACTGTGCCATGGTCAATACTAGGATAGCATAAGAGCTACCCAAACTTCTCTCACTATACGGGATATAAAAACATATGAGTCATCATAAAACTTCTCCCGCCATGCAGGATTGACTAGCATAAGTACTATCCAAACTTCTTTCCATGCGGGATAAATCTATATACAAACATACATGCTTAATCTAACGTTGGTCAAATTAGACATGTTACTTATTGCAACTCTTATCATAATGATGGAAAAAATATATACTATTTACTGTAACGAAAATTTAGTTATGACGACTAAAACATTCACTTATACTTCATTTTCCAATTAAATCTTCCGATTGATTCCAATTTAATCAGAAAATTAGCAAACTAACAAAAAATAGTCATGAACTGACTTAACTCAAGCCTTTTCATTCAAATAGCCCAGTATTGTAGCCCGTTGACTTCTAGCCGAGTGATCTCATTAGTTAATTTAAAACATACAAGATGCTTCCGCATCAATTCTACATCACCGTTGGGCAGAAAATAGAATTAATGCATAAAATTAATAAATTAACTTGAAGGGCATATAACTACTCTTTAAAATTAAATTTTTTCGTTGGTTCGAATTTAATTAGAAGATAATCAACATCATTGCAGCGAAAACATGATAATAAAATACATTCTATTAGTTCAGGGACATTTCTTGGTCCTTATCTACTCTCTAAAAAATTGACCACGTTGGTGTAAAATTTATCAGAGATTTAAACTTCAAACTTAAACTCATTATAATATTATTATTATAACGTTGCACAGAAAAATAATAATATCATAATTAAACTTAAACAATTCAGACTACTCTGCCAATTTAAATTTTTTCATTGGTTCCAATTTAGTTAGAGGATAAACATAATCATAATTTACTGAATAAATATAACTACTCTTCAAATTAAATCCTCCCGTTGGTTCGAATTTAAAGAGAAGATAATAATCATTAACTTTGCATGGAAACATAAAAAATATAATTTATCTACTTTTCAGAAGCATTTCAGTGTACTCATCTACTCT